TCAAGTCTTTGCTGGGTCAGTTGACGTTTCTGTGTGGAGTTTGCATGTTCTCCTCGTGTTGGCGTGGGTTTCCTCCGGTTTTTCTATCTCTAATGGGTCCATTATTGTCGTTAGTACATAATATTCATAATATTGCGACACATGGACCTTGCAATGCGCTGCTATTTATTATTATTATTATTATTATTATTATTATTATTTAAAACCCATTCCTGAGCGCCGCGTCAATCGTTTTTATAAGCAAATTATGTTGCATGTATCATAGCAACTGACTGAAATAAACGATGCGCTGAAATTGCTCACAGCTGAACATTTTCAGAACAGCGCTCGCATTTCTGCAGCACAAAAGCGCTTCACATGGTCTTCAGAGGTTTAGCGAGGGCGGGTTATTTTTGACTCGAATGATACATACAGAATTTAACGACAACAGGAGGATTACAATTATATCTATTTGACATGAAGTGTTTCCTCAGACTGGTGTTGATACATTGAGCACCGCGTGCATCATCTTCTGTTCAATGTAATGTGATTATTAATGCTGTGATGTTTCTGCTCTGTGTTTTCTCTCAGACAGTGCGCCATTGTGGCTCTTCAGGACGTGAAGTCTTATCTGAACGAGGAGGGAGGCCAGATCGCTGTACGTTCTGCTCTTTGGACACTCTTTATCTTTGTCCTTTACATAATGAAACTAGCATTTCTTCATATACCAGATCAAATAAGAATTCAATTCAAGTTTTTTCGTAGAGCGTGTTTCACAATAATTGTTTCAAAGCTGCTTTTACAAAAGGTGCACATTATTGCATTACAATCATATTCAGAAATGTTAAGGTTATTCGTTACCATAACTTTATTAGTTACTAATAACTTGAACTAACTTACAACTAATAGCTTTTAACAGTTAAAGTTATTATATAAACATAATCTTACGGCGGAGTGTTATTTGGGTTACATAAATATATGCAGTTGTTTTACATTGTGTATTGGCATCAGATGAGTTTTGTTTTTTATTAACTAATAATTATTTTAGCTGAAATAAAATAAAATAATATTACATAACTGAGAAACTTAAAATTGAAAAATTTAAATTGAATTTAATCAGTCAAAGCACTAAATTTGTTAACTACAAAAACAAATAAGGTACAAACATTTAATCCATAATGTATTAATATTCAATTAAAAAAAGTAAATTTTTATTAATATAAAAGTCTCTCTATTTTTTCAATGACTCATTATTTTAGTACATAGTCCAAAAAGTTTATATTTGATGATTGAATTGTTTAATTAATTAATTAGTGATTATTTAATTAATTAGTGAAATATTTCAAAGTTTAAAGTGTTTAAATATATTTTACCATGTTCTTTCTGAATCGACTTCCTTTTAAATTACTTAAAATATTAATGTTTATAGTTTTAAATAAATAAAACCATTACATGAGATTTATAAGAACATTTAGTCCCCATTTAAATAAAATTTGATATGTATAATTATTTCTTCATATATTTAATCATATGTTTAATCATATATAATTAAATTTAATTGTCTTTTAAATATATATCTTATTTGCTCAAATTGTACAAATTAAACTATTTTAACAGTACATCAAAACAATAATTTAATTGTGCTATTGTATTATAACAAATGATAATATTTTCTCTGTAATCGATGATACAGTTGAAGTCAGAATTATTAGCCCCCTTTTGAATTTTTAGTTATTTTTTAAATATTTCTCAAATGATGTTTAACAGAGCAAGGAAATTTTCACAGTATGTCTGATAATATATTTTTTTCTTCTGGAGAAAGTCTTATTTGTTTTATTTTGGCTAGAATAAAAGCAGTTTTTATAAAAAAAATATATATATTTTAAGGTCAAAAGTATTAGCCCCTTTAAGCTATTTTGTTTTTCAATAGTCTACAGAACAAACCATCATTATACAATAACTTGCCTAATTACCCTAACCTGCCTAGTTAACCAAATTAACCTAGTTAAGCCTTTAAATGTCACTTTAAGCTGTATAGAAGTGTCTTAAAGAATATCTAGTCAAATATTATTTACTGTGTGATCTGATTATGTGCTGTATTTTTTGCAGGTTTTTGATGCTACAAACACAACCAGAGAGAGACGAGACCTCATCTTGAGTTTTGCGCAGGATCACTCCTATAAGGTCTGTCAATATATCGGAAATTTACTGTAATATTTTCAGTTTTTATGTCCTTGTCTGTATAACAATATAGAATAACAATATGTACACTCTACAAAAGTCTGTACAAGTTTTAGAAACAGCAAATAATAACTTGACTTCTAGTTGATCATTTGGTATCAGAAGTGGCTTATATGAAAGGAAAAGGTCTCTAGATTACACTTATTTTACCACAATAAAATATGATCATGCCTTGATTTTTAATGATTTAATTAGGACAGTAGGGTCTGACTTTGCTTAGACAAAAGTCTTGTTACTCAACAGAAATAATGTTCAGTATAGAATAAAAAGTCATGCTGCAGTGGAAACAGAATGAATATTGTGTCTGACGCTATCATGAGCTTGGAGGACTGCATCCATACATCTCTGCAATGACTCAAATCACGACTCAAATCTGATTAATAAAGTCATCTGGAATGGCGAAGAAAGCGTTCTTGCAGGACTCCCAGAGTTCATTAACATTCTTTGTGTTCATCTTTAATGCCTCCTCCATCTTACCCCAGACATGCTCATTAATGTTCATGTCTGGTGATTGGGCTGGCCAATTCTGGAGGGCCTTGACCTTCTTTGGTGAGCTTTGATGTGGAGGCTAAAGTATGAGAAGGAGCGCTATCCTGCTGGAGAATTTGCCCTCTCCTGTGGTTTGTAATGTAATGGGCAGCACAAATGTCTTGATACCTCAGGCTGTTGATGTTGCCATCTACTCTGCAGATCTCCCGCACGCCCCAATACTGAATATAACCCCAAACCATGATTTTTTCTTCACCAAACTTGACTGATTTCTGTGAGAATCTTGGCTTCATGCGGGTTCCAGTAGGTCTTCTGCAGTATTTGTGATGATTGGGATGCAGTTCAGCAGATGATTCATCTAAAAAACCACCCTCTGCCACTTTTGATCAACTGGAAGTCAAGTTATTATTTGTTGCTCTTCCAACTGGGATCCACGACAAGACTTTTGTAATTTTTAGACAAAATGTTACCAATTTTAAAAATGGTTATATTATTAGAACTGCTAAAAAAAGTTTGACATTTTGAATGAATCATTTGAATCTTTAGCCCCTTTCACACAGTGATACCGGTAAATATCTGGAAAGCTTCCGGAACGACTTTACCGGTAAATTTTAAAAAGCGCTGTTCACACAGGCGAGGACATTACAGAATCTTTCCGGAAAAGAACATTCACACATCCATTCCAAAATACCGGTAAATTCTTACATCATTTACCAGAAATGAGCTTTAAACGGCTGCGCTTGTATTTGTAAACATTTGACTACATCACAAACTCTGTGGATGATCAATATTGTGAACAACTCCGATAAAAACATATAGAGAAACACTTTCGCATGTCGAGATGTACATTATATGTGTGTGTGTGTGTGTGTGTGCTGGCGCTCACGGGCTGTTTCACGGGCACACGCAAAGCTTGAATGTAAACAAACAACGGCTTATCATAAGCATCTTATCGATAATTAATTACACGGTTGGCATTACGATGAACATATAATCATTATCTGTCTAACTTCTTGCAGCTAAATGTGTCTGGGAAAATATTCAAAGGCTTTTATTCTCATAAACCGCACGGAGGTGCATGCGTCTGACTGTTCTGATTGGCTAAAGCAGACGTCTCACGTCAGCACGTTCTAGACGTGCACGCGCTCTTTCCGGCAATCTTCCTTCTGCGTTCACACAGCGCAGCATTCCGGCAAATTACCGGTAATGTTACAACTTCTCTTTCCGGAAAATAGCCAGAACGAATTTACCGGTATTTTCAAAAAGGGCCTGATCACACATACACACCTTTCCGGAAAATTGCCGGTAATTTTCCGGAAAGGTCTGTATGTGTGAAACAGGCTAATGATTCACTGTCACTTGCATGATTTTAAAAGATATCATTTGTTTTGAATGAATGATTCATCACTCATTAACACTGGAACTGCCAATAGTCTACCAACAGAACTACTAATGATTCTGACCATTCATATAATCATCATATATAACTTTTGCCATGTCATGTTTGCATTCAAAGCATTCGTTTCAAATGCATGTCATCATGTTCTCAGAAATCCTTACCTAAATCTTTTTTTGTAATATAGTCCACAGTATAATTGTTTATAGTATTATTAAAGGTGTGAATCTCGCTTTTGGAAAGAAATGTTTTTCACTGCAATTTGATAGGCATGTCTGAAGTAAAGCTGAACATTGCTAGGCAGCAGAGGCTATTGACCGTTATGAGCAATCAAGGTCAAAATACACAGAGCTCCTTTGTGTTTTGTCATTTTAATTAAATCTGAAGAAAAATGAGCTTTGAGTACACAAGGAATTTTTTGGAGTCAGGGTACATGCACTCATATCAACACAAGAGAAAAGGAAGGACATTTAAAATAAGTGGGAAATTAAATAAAAAATTATGTATATTGTTGACTATTTTAACTGTATGAATAAAAAAGAAGAAATATTCATTTATTTATTTTCCCTTGACTTAGTCCCTTATTTATTAGTGGTTTCACTGCACTGCCTACTATTCTAGCATATGTTTTACACAGCGGATGTCCTTCCAGCCACAACCCAGAATGGGAAAACACCCATACACTCTTACATTCAGACACACACATACACTAAGTCCAATTTAGTTCATTAATTCGCCTATAGTGCATGTGTTTGGACTGTGGGGGACACCGGAGCACCCAGAGGAAACTCACACCAACACGGGGAGAACATGCAAAGTCCACACAGAAACGCCAACTGGTGCACTTGGGACTCGAACCAGTGACCTTCTTGCTGTGCTAACCACTGAGCCATCGTGTTGCCCTTGAAATAAAAATATATGTATCAAATAACGATCTTAGAATAATTCCATAATAATTAACAATGTTAGGCTCAAATACACACATTTTAGAGTTATTTGAGTTTTATTTGAACAAACTTATTAAATTTCAACGTTTCAAAATGGTCAAATTGGCGGCCACGGTAGTTCTAGACAGGCCACCTGTTAATGTCTGTTTTGTATATTTATTTAGCCAAGCCAGACAATATTCAGATCAATCTTTAATTAATCTTTAATAAAATAAATCTTATTGAATACCCAGATATAATTTTTTGGGGGGCAACGTTGCACCCCCATTCCTCTATTATATATAGCTGGGCCTAAAAACCTGAACAGAAACACGACATGTGATGCAGTAGCACGTCACGGCATCCCGAGTTTGAATCTTGACTCGAGGACATTTACCAAACCCTAGCCCTATCCCCCCCCAACTTCACTTTCTATCTCATTACTGTCCTATTTAATAAAGGCAAAAACGCCAAAAATAAATATTTAAAAAAGAAACACTCGTTGGATATCTGCAGGGTCTTAAAGTCTTAAACAAAATATTTGGTCTTAAAGTCTTAATTTCGCTAAAATATTGTGTAAAATCGTTTTAAAGAAGTCTTTATTTTCCTATGTTCATGCAAAGCTACCCAATCACTAGCATTCCATCTCAACAAAAGTTTTATTCATTCATTCATTTTCTTTTCGGCTTAGTCCCTTTATTAATCGGGGGTCGCCACAGTTAAATGAACCACCAACTTATCCAGCATATGTTTTACACAGCGGATGCCCTTCCAGCTTCCACTCATACACTTCCATTCACACACATACACTACAGCCAGTTGAGCTCACCCAATTCCCCTATAGCGCATGTTTTCGGACTGTGGGGGAAACCGGAGCATCAGGAGGAAACCCACGCCAACACGGGGAGAACATGCAAACTCCACACAGAAATTCCAACTGACCCAGCCGGGACTCGAAACAGAGATCTTCTTGCTGTGAGGCGACACCTTTAACCCTTAATTATCTTCCTTACAATAAAATTTTTTGTATTGTTTTAACTGGACCATCAGAAAATATCCTTAACATTTAATCAAATTAAATCCCTTTTATTGTCACATCATCAGCAGCACGTGTGCTATGATGAGTAAAAAGCTTAGGTGCTGGCTGCAGACAGTGCAAAATGCAGACAGTGCAAAATACAGACAGTGCAAAATACAGACAGTGCAAAATACTGACAGTGCAAATACAATGACAATGTGAAATTGACAGCGATATGTACAATGAATAGGTGTCCACATAGTCGTAGCCAGTATTGTTTTGAGTATGGATTGGTTCAAGTGCAGTGCATGCTACATATTGATGGTGTGCAGTGAGGGGTATGGAAGAGTCTGTGTGGGGTGTGTTAAGTGTTCAAGAGCCTTGTGTAAGTCTAATTTCATTCATAATAGTCTTAAAAAGGTCTTGATGAAACCTGTAGAAACCTTAACTGGGTGCAGTTTTTAATGTTATTTCTTTATTTTGATTTTGTTTTCAGGTGTTTTTTGTCGAGTCTCTTTGTAGCGACCCAGAAGTCATTGCTGCCAATATAATGGTGAGTGTTAATGCGGAAATTATTCATATTCTGAAGCTCAACCATCCATTAAATTCAGCATAAAATCTTTTATTGTTGCTTATATGTCTTTTATAGTGATGTTCAGTCAAAATGATTCGCCCTCCTGTGAATGATTTTTTCTTTGTCAAATATTTCCCAAAGGATGTTTAACAGATTCAGGAATTTTTCACAGTATTTGCTATAATATCTTTTCTTCCAAAGAAAGTCTTATTAGTTTTATTTTGGCTAGAATAAAAGGAGCTTTTGTTTTTTAAACATCATTTTAAGGTCAATAGAATTAGTCCCCTTAAGTAATTTATTTTTTTGATAATCTACAGAACAAACCACTTGCCTAATTACCCTAACTTTAACATAATTATACTAGTTAAGCCTTTAAATGTCACTTTAAGCTGTATAGAAGTGTCTTGAAAAATATCTAGTCAAATATTATTTGCTGTCATCATGGCAAAGAGAATATAAACCAGTGAATAGAAAAGGCTTATTAAAACTATCATGTTTAGAAATGTTTTGAACAAATCTTCTTTTCTTTAAACTGAAATAAGGGGAAAAATATACAGGAGGGCTAATAATTCTGACTACAGCTTTATATCTGACTGAATGTATGCTACAGTATGTTTTGGTAACACTTCTTGAATGGTGTCTCCCAGGATGTGAAGGTTTCCAGTCCGGATTATCCGGAGCGAGACAGAGAGAGCGTAATGGAGGACTTCCTCAAGAGAATCGAGTGCTACAAAGTCACATATCAGCCCTTAGACCCCGATGAACATGACAAGTACGCTTTTATTTCCATTTTACCATCTGTACATGTAGTACTCTCTGCAAAATATCATCTAGGAGTATATTAATGATCAAGAAGCATAACCGATTAAAAAATTCAAGAGTGTGCTGTAACTGATGTGTTATGTCGTAGAACAAAACATAAAAGTATCTTGAGTTTGTGTTAGCCACGAACCTTATTTAAGTGATTTTACTGAAACCCCATACAAAAAACCTATTGACTTTGGTATGAGGGAACCAGAACTGCTAAAATGCTAACTCGCTTCCGGGTTTTTGCATACAAATTGGCGTCATTGTTCCTCCACTCTATACTGACACTTTCAAACTGACCAATCAACATGTGACCTATGAAATTCCTTAATTAAAGGGAAAAAATCAGTGATCCATTTAGATAGAAGTGTCAAACTGCAAGTTTTGGATGTTTATATATTCTAAACATGAATTTTGTTACTGTTTTGGAGCACACTAAATTATAAGACATCCTTAAGACTAACATATTGATACTAAGATCCAAAACATTTTCACAGGACCTTTAAATGCTGTGTATGGATATTAATGTAATTCATTCAGGAAAAAAATGCAGTTGCATGTTGGGAAACCCTGGCAATATTTTACAGTGTGTAATCTTAGCATTCAATTCATTCTAAAAAAATATTATAAATTAATTAAAATAAATAAATTGTATTTATTTTTTAAATGATGTATTAATATTTATTTATTATTAGATTTATTTATTTTTAAATGTATTTTATTTATTATTTTGAAGCTGATTTTTAGTTGTCATGTTATAAAGTCACCAGCAGAGAGCAGCAGTACAATTTGCTCTGATCAATTGTTAGCATGTGATTTTAATTCAAGAAGATAAGAATAAAGTAGCGTAAACTCTTTCTAATAGATGAAGATAATAGGGTGATTCAGACATTAACATGGCTTCCTTGAAAGCCTAGTTAGAAACTGCATTTCTGAAATTCCTCCAGTGTATCTTTTGGCTTAATCGTCAAGTTTTCCTGCTTGGAAAACTCAAACCAGTGTAAAGGTTACAGACAGAGTAGTTTCTTTCTGTTGCCTTTAAATCTGTTCTTAAATCTTTCTAAAACATGTTCACACAGCAGCATTTAAATATTGCAAATGATAGTAAATTCTAGGGATGCACAATCTATATTATAGATATATATATATATATATGTGTGTGTGTGTGTGTGTGTGTGTGTGTGTGTGTGTGTGTGTGTGTGTGTGTGTGTGTGTGTGTGTGTGTGTGTGTGTGTGTGTGTGTTTTTGTGTGTGTGTGTGTGTGTGTGTGTGTAAAAATATATATTTTTTTCTTCTTTTTTAAAAATTTCCCAAATTGTGTTAAACAGAGCAAGGAAATTTTCACAGTATGTCTGATAATATTTTTTCTTCTGGAGAAAGTCTTATTTGTTTTATTTCAGCTAGAATAAAAGCTGTTTTTAATTTTTTAAACTCCATTTTAGGGACGAAAGTATTAGCCCCTTTAAGCTATATATTTTCTCGACTGTCTACAGAACAAACCACTGTTATACAATGACTTGCCTAATTACCCTAACCTGCCTAGTTAACCTAATTAACATAGTTTAGCCTTTAAATGTCACTTTAAGCTGTATAGAAGTGTCTTGAAGAATATTTAGTCTAATATTATTTACTGTCATCATGACAAAGATAAAATAAATCAGTTATTAGAAATGAGTTATTAAAACTATTATGTTTAGAAAAATGCTTAAACAATCTTCCCTCCATTAAAAAGAAATTGGGGGAAAAAAATAAACAAGCGGTCTAATAATTCAGGGGGGCTAATAATTCTGACTTATACACACACACACATACACACGGACATAATAATTATAAATTAACAAATTACACCCAAGTAGGCCATTACTGTTAGGTGTAAGATATCAGACAATTTCTTTTCCTAATACACTCTTGGACGAGTTTGTATTATTCAAGAACAAGAAAAAAACAAGGAAGAATAAAAAAAAAACAGGGTTAAATATGCAAGATTTATATTTCTGTTTTATTTATTATTTTTTTCAGTTTAATTGTTGAAGTTAAACAGATTTTCTTCAATTTGTGCTATTTTGTATCTATTCAGCATATTTTATTGCATTTAGTTTTAATTAATAATTAGTAAATAAAGGGACTAAGCCGAAAAGAAAATGAATGAATTTAATTAATAATAATACTGTTACTATTTACTTTTAATACTAATTACTATTAAGGCATTGTTTTTCAATTGTTTCAGTCAAGATCATCGTTTAGCTTAGCAACATAATTTAAACAGCATTTTAAATAGATACACTGGAATAAATCTGAATTTTAATCTGCTATAACATCACATATTTTAACAATTTTTGTGTGTGTGTGTGTACTTATTAAACGAGAGCAGGGATTGTTGTTGGTATAAGTGGATCTTGTACAACTGTGGTTAATTGTTTTTCTGCAGACAGATGTCTCACAGAAATCCTCTCGAGTCGCCTGTTATTGTTCTGCACTCAAGGGCACAATTATGATAGACACAACTGTGTTTGTAGTAAATCACTTACTGTGTCATTCTCTAAAGCTTAACATGGCAGTCTCTTACAGTATGAACAGCTTGATCACTGCTGTTTGCAGATACTTTTCTTCATGAATTTTAATGCTGTTAAATATGTAAGCTTATTTTCACCACATAATAATGAAATACACTAACTTACTTTGAAATAAGTCAGAATTGTAAAAAAAAATATATATACACTTGCGTATATGCATGTTTGTTAAAAAACAACAGAAATGAAGCGCATTGAAAAGGAATAACCTAAACGAGGTTGATGGACGTGTCCTAAATGATTAATAGCTCCACCCTAAATGTCTGATAGGCCCGCCTTAAATAACTGATTGCTCTTCTTTAAATTACTTATAGCTCCACCCTAAATGACTTATAGCTCCACCCTAAATGAGTGATAGGCCCGCCTTAAATTACTAATTGCTCTGCCCTGAATGACTTATAGCTCCACCTTAAATGACTTATAGCTCCACCTTAAATGACTTATAGCTCCACCTTAAATTCCTTATAGCTCCACCTTAAATGACTGATAGCTCCACCTTAAATGACTGATAGCTCCACCTTAAATGACTGATAGCTCCACCTTAAATGACTGATAGCTCCACCTTAAATGACTGATAGCTCCACCTTAAATGACTGATAGGCCCACCTTAAATGACTGATAGTTTAGCTATTAATGACATATAGCTCTGCCCTAAATGACTTATAGCTCCACGCTAAAAAACTGACAAACCTACCTTAAATGACTGATAGTTCCACCATAAATGATATATAGCTATACCCTAAATGAATTATAGCTTTATCCTAAATGACTGATAGCCCTGCCCTAAATGACTGATAACCCCACCCTAAATGACTGATAGCCCTGCCCTAAATGACTGATAACCCCACCCTAAATGACTGATAGCCCTGCCCTAAATGACTGATAACCCCACCCTAAATGACTGATAGCCCTGCCCTAAATGACTGATAGCCCTGCCCTAAATGACTGATAACCCCACCCTAAATGACTGATAGCCCTGCCCTAAATGACTGATAACCCCGCCCTAAATGACTGATAGCCCTGCCCTAAATGACGGATAGCCCTGCCCTAAATGACGGATAGCCCTGCCCTAAATGACGGATAGCCCTGCCCTAAATGACGGATAGCCCTGCCCTAAATGACGGATAGCCCTGCCCTAAATGACTGATAGCCCTGCCCTAAATGACTGATAGCCCTGCCCTAAATGACTGATAGTTTCATCCCAAATGACATGTAGTCCCATCGCAAATGACTGATAGTACTGACCTAAATGACTGATAGCCCCGTCCCAAATGACTGATTTTACTGACCTAAATGACTGATAGCCCTGTCCCAAATGACTGATTTTACTGACCTAAATGACTGATAGCCCCGTCCCAAATGACTGATTTTACTGACCTAAATGACTGATAGCCCCGTCCCAAATGACTGATTGTACTGACCTAAATGACTAATAGCCCCGTCCCAAATGACTAATAGTACTGTCCCAAATGACTGATATTACTGACCTAAATGACTGATATCCCCGTCCCAAGTGACTGATAGTAGTGACCTAAATGACTGATAGCCCCGTCCTAAAGGACATATAGCTCCCTACTAAACAAGTTAAAACTACACCCTAAATGACTAATAGCTCCACCCTAAATGACTGATAGATCCATGCTAAAAGATTTATAGCCCCGCCCTAAATGATATATTGGCCTAAATTAGTTATAGCTCCAACATAAATGACTTGTAGCCAAGCTCTTAATTACTGAAAGCTCCACCCCAAATGACATATAGTTCACTTCGCCCTAAATGAATTATAGCTCCACCCTAAATAACTGATAGCTCACCCTAAAAGACAGTAAGCCCCGCCCTAAAGGCATTACATTTGACCAGAAGTGAAGAAGTCTTTTGATGAGGAGAGAAGTTTATGCTATGTAATTTAAAGTTTATGAAAGTTTACAAAATAATGAAGTGCACACACACATCATTTATAACATGCACTATTATATTCATTATTCTATATGCATATAAAAATACAGGTACATTTTGATTTTGCTGTTACTTTAATAATGAATTGCGATGATTGATGATGTCTCTCTAGGGCGCTGTCCTTCATCCAGGTGATCAACGTGGGTCAGCGTTTCCTGGTGAACCGCGTTCAGGATTATATTCAGAGTAAGATCGTCTACTACCTCATGAACATCCACGTTCAGAAACACTCCATCTACCTCTGCCGACACGGAGAGAGTCAGCACAACGTCCAGGGCTGCATCGGTGGAGACTCGGAGCTCTCCAGCAGAGGAAAAGAGGTACTTCACCCGCTCTCACTTCAGTTCATGCATAAATAAGTGGAATATAGCTCTCTTAGGGTGTTTTCACTCTAGCACTGTTGGTCCCCATCTGGGTTCATTTAACATCAGAGTACGGTACGTTTAGCTAGTGTGAATGTGTCTTTTAAACTCGGTGCGCCCCATACCTGTCAACACTCCCGTTTTTCCCAGGAGTCTCCTGTATTTCAGACCCGTCTCCCGCCCATCTCTCGTATTGTTCTGTCTCCCGGAAAACTCCTGGAATTCTAACCCCCCCAAACCCCCCCCCCCCCCCCCCCCCCCCAACACACACACACACCCCCACCCTTCAGTTTTTTGGTACAGTCCGACTAGCTTTTTAGTTCAGTCCCCATGCGCAACGAAACCAAACGCGAAACCATCCTCATAACCATTCCTTGCTCACAACACAATAAACACTAATACTTAACATCCAGTACACAAACAAAAAAACTTGGAAAAAAAAATTCAATAATAACAATAACTAATAATAATAAATAATAATCCATCGATTAACTACATTTTATACGTAACCGAATTGCATCAGGGTGCTTTCACTCCAGCACTTTTCACTCCAGCACTTTCCCCATCTGGGTTCATTTAACATCAGATTACGGTACGTTTAGGTGTGAACGTGTCTTTTGAGCTCGGGTGCGCACCATACCTGCCAACACTCCTGTTTGTCCCGGGAGTCTCCTGTATTTCAGACCCGTCTCCCGCCCATCTCTTGTATTCTGTCTCCCGGAAAACTCCTGGAATTTGACTAGCTTTTTAGTTCAGTCCCCATGCGCAACGAAACCCAATGCGCAACCATCCTCATACCCGTTCCGGGAGGTCTCCCCACCAACCCCTGCAGCTGCCCAAAACTGTGATGGCTCTCCACATCCCAGCCCTGCTCTGCTGGTTTGAACTCTTCCCATTATCTCTTTGTGCTGAAGCCTGTCAATGGCTTGGTTGACCTCCTGCTGTGCCCTCCGCTTGCGCCCAGTGCGAATAATCACCCCTGCGCTTCTGACTGCTTTGTCTCTTGACTGTAGTTCTAACACAAGACGAGCCTTTTCCTGCTTGTATCCATGGCTGATGGACTTCAGAGGAAGCTGAAGTACATTATTGCCATATAGGCCCGTATCCGAGAAACAATGTGGGAGGCCCAGCCACTTCCTAATATAGGTGTTGGAGATTGTGTCCATTTTTTTAACAAGGGACGATGATATTTCTGATACTTTGACGGGCCACATTACCTGCTGGAAAAGTGTAAACTCAGGGGTTCTCAACTGGTTTGGCCATGGGACCCTCATTTTTACATGGTCATCAAGCCGCGACCCAAATTTTTAAAAACTATAATACAATTTTTGGAATTATAATTAATTTGTATTTATTTGTTAACATAAACTAGTGACATACATCATAAGAAATTCACCAAGACTTACAAATAAGCAATATTTTATTGCTGTCTTTTGACAAAATGGATCAAATTATTGTAATATTACAAAGTAAACACGACAAATACAGTTAATAATTAACTGTTAATAAAATAAAAATGTTTTCTGGTTTCTAAATGGTGTTTTAATTTAGAAGGTTTCATGCTCTCTTATGAGAGCACCTCACCACATATCACACTGAGGCTTTAAGTAAATATATATATTCATACTTTACATATTCGGGTCGTACTTGCGATTCGGCAAATTTGTTGCAACAATTAAATGAAATTTCACATGTCAAACGGTAGGGTTGTGTCACGGTTGTGGATCCATCTGCTCCTTATTTGAAGTGTCTGCGTTGTGTGACAGTTCATTATCATGATACGTGTTTCTAAGTGTGTGATTTTCTCTCTGTGTTTGTTTGGGAGTCACGTGGCTGTCAGTGGGTGTTTGTTTTCATGTCATCAGCTGAGCGGTCACATGATCTTTGTTACCGGAACTGTTGCGTAGCACCGCTAAGCTGGTAATCAGCGCGCTGCAGGTGTAGCGCATTTACGTACCTATAAATGTTCAGCGTTCCTGTCTCACTTTGTCAGTTCGTTGTTTGCTTACGGTCCTTTGTGTTTTTGTCAGGCTCCTCTCGCTGATATCGCTGGTGGTGAGTGGTTTGGTTGATTTCCTTGTTGCTGTCTCTGATCCCCGTTTCTTTTACGATGAGTGTTTGATCGGCTCTGTTGATGAGTACATCGGAAACATTCCTGTTTCTTCTACGACGAATGTTTTATTTGCTCTCTTGATGAGTGATATGAACATTGATCGGCGCTGCCGAACTGGACCATCTCTTCAATTGCTTCTATTGTTTCAATACTTCCAGCCACTCACCATTTTCCCCGTTTTGTTAAAGATCAGCATTAAAGACTTTTACTTGCATTTGGGTTCCACATCTTGTTTCTTTTAACGTCACAGGTTGTCGCGCACGCATTACAAAATAAAAGTCCGGTATGAGCAAAATAAGTACAAATTTTTACTTTTGTTGTTTTTTTTTGACCCCACACTCACTAAAAATGTTCCCGTGACCCAAAAGTGGGTCGCGACCCACCAGTTGAGAAACACTGGTGTAAACTGATAGCACCATACTTTCAATTTCAATGGAAGCTGACTGCTGTCAATTTTCTCCAGCCCTTCTCTTTATTGCTTCTGCACGGCACTGTTATACAATGACTTGCCTAATTACCCTAACTTTACCTTAATTAGCCTAGTTAAGCCCTTAAATGTCACAATAAGCAATATCTAGTCAAATATTATGTCCTGTCATCATGGCAAAGATAAAAGAAATCAGTAATTAGAAATGAGTTATTAAAACTATTATGATTAGAAATGTGTTTTAAAATCTTCTCCATTAAATAAAAATTGGGGGGAAATATATACAGGGGGGCTAATAATTCTGACTTCAACTGAAAGTGTGTTTGATTTGCAGTTGTTTTTGCATTGTGTATTTGTGTTAAGCATTTCATCACCACCACACAGACAAAAGCACTTTCATTGTGCCCTGTGTTGATTTCCAGCATGCTCTGCTTCACCACAGCCAGGTAAGGATTGTTTTTAAGCTTGTTAACTTGTCTCCTGTTCTCTCAGTTCTCTAAAGCCCTGCGTGGGTTTCTGGAAACCCAGAAGATCCCAGACCTGAAGGTCTGGACCAGCCAGCTTAGACGCACGATTCAGACGGCGGAAGAGCTGGGCGTCCCGTACGAACAGTGGAAAATCCTCAACGAGATCGACGCTGTAAGTTCAGTCCTGTTCTTCATTGATTCACCGTGATCAAACAGCACTGTTATAGAAACACTCCACCTTTTTGGGAAATAGTGTAAATTTTTTTTTGGCTTGTTTATTTAAAGATATAACAGAAGCAAGTTTTACAAAGATTGTGCCATGGTGGGTTATGGTCTAAATGCTCTACAAAAGCAAATCATAAACAGTAATAGCTAATAGGGTAACTAATAGTTGGCTCAGTGGTTAGCACTGTTGCTTCAGAGGATGAAGGTTGCTGATTCGACCTGGCTTGACCAGTTGGCATTTCAGTGTGGAGTTTGCATGTTCTCCCCGTGTTGGCATGGGTTTCCTCCAGGTGCTCCGGTTTCCCCCACAGTGAATTGGCCGTAGTGTACAGTGTGTGTAGATGAGTGTGTATGGGTGTTCTCTGGTACTGGGTTGTGGCTGAAAGGGCATCCGCTGCATAAAACATACGCTGGAATAGTTGGCGGTTCATTTCGCTGTGGCGACCTCTGATATAGAGACTAAGCTGAAGGAAAATGAATGAATATTCCTGTAACACACAGTTCCTCAATCTGAGTCAGATGTTTAATGAAGGTGTATCATGTTTTACTGGTTTACCACAACAAGAATAATTGCGCAGTGAAATCCTTATTGGGTAAACTGTGAACAGTAAAAGCCTGCTTCCCGTACTGTAGGAAATAGGGCAGACATATTAATGATGTTTTTCTTTCACAATTACAAACTGAAGTTATTGCACAACATCTGAATTGGTGATGAAGAAAGATTTGTGTTTTGAACAAGGATTAATATTAGGGGTGTGAACCTATAGTGGTCTCACGGTTCGGTTAGCATTAGCATTGACGATGCTTTCCATACATAATTCACTTTTTTCTTCAACACAAATTTTTTTTTATTCAAATCTATAAATATATTTATATATTATTTGTAATACAATTTTGTCCTTTAATACAAGCAATAAGATATATGAACTGTACCTTTAATTTGACCTGCTCAAAGAAAACAGTTTTTCTGAATGTTTTAGACCAGTGGTCCTCAAACTTTTTTCATCAAGTACCACTTCAGAACAAAATTATCTCTCCAAGTACCACCATAATGAGCAGTATTACTATACAGTAGCATAGTAAGCCCAGTAAAGCAGCTACAGTTCTGCAGTTCAAAAAAGGTGGCAGATTAGTTCCTATTATTCAGAATATTTATTATTGTCAGCCACTTTAAACATAAATAGTCTGAACGTTAACACTGTACTGTGCTTATAAAAAACAAAAAAAACAAACTAAAAACGTCAACATTTAAATTAAAATGTGCTTAAGGTAAAAAGAAAAGTACTGTACTTAAATGTAAAGTATTAACATATAGTAGCCAATTCATCAACACCTGAAAATGTTGCCTGGACCTCAGAAATATAGGCTATTTGTAGGCCCACACGGAATCTGCCTGCGCAGATTTTCCGCAGATTTCTGCAGATTTTTAGCCCATTATTAAATCTGTTTATTTACTTGAGTAAATGTGTAAATCTGAATTTATTCAGTTTTTATACATTAATTTATTACTTTTTAATATATTAAGGTTTTAGTTATGATACTCTGCTGGGTACTCCCAAAATAATTCTGCAGAAATCCACAGATTTTTACCAAAATTCTCCGCAGAATTAGCAAAAAATGTCCGCAGATTCCGTCTGGCCCTGGCTATACGTCATATAATGAATATATATATATATATATATATATATATATATATATATATATATATATATATATATATATATATATATATTCATATATATATATATATATTCATATATATATATATATATTCATATATATATCATTTTTTATCAATTTTGAAATATATGTAGCATGTACATATTACATATTTGATTCCTCCGCGTGCCACTAGTGTTACACGTACTACAGTTTGAGAACCACTGGCTTAGACACAACTCCAACACATGAGCATTTATAGCAAATAAACTATCGTAAATGTTATCTTACTTGCTTTTTGAGCACTGTCAAGCGAGTTGTTACACCCCTATGATTGGTCATTAGCCCCTTTCACACAGTGATACCGGTAAATATCTGGAAAATTTCCGGAACGACTTTACCGGTAAATTCATAAAAGCGCTGTTCACACAGGCGAGGACGTTACGAAATTTTTCCGGAAAAGAGCATTCACACATCCATTCCAAAATACCGGTAATTCTGACATCATTAACCAGAAATGAGCTCTAAACGGCTGCGCTTGTGTTTGTAAACATTTGACTACATTACAACCTCTGTGGATGATCAATATTGTGAACAACTTTCGCAGGATCACTTTCGCATGTCGAGATGTATATGATATGTGCGTGTGCTGGCGCTCACAGGCTGTTTCACAAGCACACGCAAAGCTTGAAGGTAAACAAACAACGACTTATCATAAGCATCTCATCGATGATTATTTACACAGTTGACATAAAGAAGAACATATGAACGTGATCTGACTAACTTCTAGCAGCTAAATGTGTCTGGAAAAATATTCAAAGGTTTTTATTCTCATAAACCGCGCGGACGTAAATGCGTCTGACTGTTGTGATTGGCTAAAGCAGACGTCTCACGTCAGCACGTTCTAGACGTGCACGCGCTTATTACGGTAATCTTCCTTCTGCATTCACACAGCGCAGCATACCGGCAAATTGCCGGTAATGTTACAACTTCTCTTTCCGGAAAATAGCAAGAACGAATTTACCGGTATTTTCAAAAAGGACCTGTTCACACATACAACCTTTCCGGAAAATTGCCGGCAATTTTCCGGAAAGGTCTGTATGTGTGAAAGGGGCTAATGAAAGACTTTCCAGCAAACTTACAAGGAGTTGAATTGTGCATGATTATCTACCTTTTAAGTAGTAGGAGCGTTTTATGTACTCGTCCTCGCCTTCTTCACTATAGTATTCTACTGCGACATCGGGCATTGTAGACGACGTCAGTACGGAATAACTGGATATAAATATTACTGAACACTATTAACTAGTAGATTAGTAATACCTGCCTATTATTAAAATATTCATTCATTCATTCATTCATTTTCCCTTGGCTCAGTTTTAGAAGTTGCCACAGCGGAATGAACCGCCAGCTATTCCAGCATATGTTTTATGAAGCGGATGCACTTCCAGCCGCAACACAGTACTGGGAAACACCCATACACACTCATTCCAACTTAGTTCGTGCTAACCATTGAGCCACAGCGCTGCCCCACTATTAAAATATGATCTGTTTAGTAGTACTTATTAACCCAATACTTAAAAGCCGAATAGTATCATAATAATGATTTGTTAAGGATTTATTGTGCTAAAAACCATAGTTAATGGTTTACTAATAGCACAATAAATATATAGAAAAAATTTTAGAGTCCAAACACACATGCTATAGGGGAATTGGGTAATCTAAATTGGCTGTAGTGTAGGAGTGTGCGTGTGAATGTTTGAGTGTATGGGTGTTTCACAGTTCTGAGTTGCGGCTAAAAGGGCATCCGCTTCGTAATACATATGCTGGAATAGTTGGCGGTTCAATCCGCTGTGGCGATCTCTAAAATAAAGATTAAGCTGAAGGAAAATGCATGAATGAATTTGAAGTATTAATAAAAACTAGCAGCTGTGATGCTAAAATAAGGCACCGTTGTGATTTTGTTCATTTTAATGTGTGTTTATGTTCTGTTTCAGGGCATCTGTGAAGAAATGACGTATGAGAAGATTAAAGAAGCATACCCGGATGAATATTCTCTCAGAGACCAGGACAAATATCATTACAGATACCCAGGAGGAGAGGTGCGTGCACTAGACACAATCATCCTTTCAAGATTATCGGAGTACTTAATATACTTGCCATTTAGTAGGAAAGAAAATTAATGGAAAAAAAAAAAAAAAAAAAATATATATATATATATATATATATATATATATATATATATATATATATATATATATATATATATATATATATATATATATATATATATATATATATATATAAATGATGTTTGACAGAGCAAAGAAATTTCCACAGTATGTCTGATAATATTTTTTCTTCTAGAAAAAGTCTTATTTGTTTTATTTCGGCTAGAATAAAAGCAGTTTTTAATTTTTTAAAACTATTTTTGGGACAAAATTATTAGCCCCTTTAAGCTAATTTTTTTTCGATAGTCTACAGAACAAACCATCATTATACAAAAATTTGCCTAATTACCCTAACCTGCCTAGTTCAGCTTATTAACCTAGTTAAGCCTTTAAATGTCACTTTAAGCTGTATAGAAGTGTCTTGAAAAATATCTAGTCAAATATTATGTACAGTCATCATGGCAAAGATAAAATAAATCAGTTATTAGAAATTAGTTATTAAAACTACTGTATTATGCTTAGAAATGTGCTGAAACAATCTTCCCTCCATTAAACAGAAATTGGGTAAACAGGGGAGCTAATAATTCTGACTTCAACTATATATATATATATATATATATATATATATATATATATATATATATATATATATATATATATATATATATATATATATATATATATATTAGTGTTCTTTTTATGTATTTTTTTACATTGACACAAAAATTCTGATACAACCTTTTAAATGTGTATATGTTAATATTTACGACAGTTTTTTTAACATCATATACAGTATACAAAGTAAAGGGAAGAAAAAAAGCTGGGAAAATAGGGGGGAAACTAAGTGAAAAAAGTAAAAGAACTATAAATATTTTAACATTTATTAATATTTATTTTTAAAAAATGTTCTAACTGGATGCACTTTTTTATATTTTATCGTTATATTCATATTTTGGAGTACAATGGTGCTTTGCTGTTTTTAATTTGACATTCTGCGCCCTGATTAGCGCACTGTGTTCTGAGTCCTGATTGGCTGTAGACTCTTGTCAGTCAATATCCTCCATGCCGTGTCTCCTTTAGAGCACAGAATGCGCTCTGCTTGCCATAAATCTTCAATTGCTAGCAGTGTGACTCTTAAAGTGCTGTACTGCGTATTTGCAAGTTTTCTCCCTTGCAAACCCCATAATATCAACAAAATGTTCTGCACCCTCAATGGCACCCATGGTAGCACCCAAAAGTCAGAGAAAGATGCTAACCAACGCACAAAAGGTTGGATTTCTGGACATAATGAAGGAAATTAGAAGTTACACGAGTGTTGAAACAAGAGAGAACAGTGTGAAAATGTTAATGCCTATCTGAGAAAAGTGTATTAAGTGTGTAGTGAGGGGTTTTACAGACTTATGACATCTATAATAGTTGTAAAAAATTGGAAGTGGACTACTTTGAGGATTTCATCTATTGTGGGTTATTCTTACAAGGTGTCCATGGGGTCTTAAAAAGTATTACAAATTGATAAATCAATTTAGAGGAATTAAAGCCCCTTAAAAGTCTTAAAGGCTGTTGTATCCGTACATAGATATGTACACTAGATGTCGCCTGGCCTATTGTTGTTTATTGGACTGAATGCGTCAATATCGCCGCCATCTTGCTACAGGGTAGCGCTCCTTTGAAATGAATGCGGGACCAATGTACAGTGGAGGACTGTGGCCATCCAAAGCCAGAGATATACACATATATCTATGATCGGGAGTTTTCCTGGATGTTAGTATGCAATTTTTTTTCTAATTACGAAAATTATAATTTTACATCACTTTTCTACATTGATGGATCAGTGACCGCACGGGCATTCCTGACAAAAAGCTTGTGTTTGTGTGTACAGAAATGTACTATTCACCCTCCCTGTTAAATTTAATATAATCAGTGTCCTGAAACACAGCTCCTCTCCTGCTTTCACTTCTCATACTGACGGAGAGAGCAATTCGTTTGTGAATGAATCCCCGAAACGACTCTTTCACTAACGTTAGCCGACAATAATACAAGTTTCTGGCAGCGCAGCATCTCGTTGTCATATTTCTTTTGCATTGTTCGCTGATTTTATTCAACAAAACTAGCATAAGCCGAGTGTTTAGTGCGAGTTGGAGCTTCTTTGTCTTATGGTGAATGGAGTAAGTGACTGTATTATCATCAATAACGTTACCTGATTAGCACAAAAGTTCAGAACATACAAAAACAGAAAAAAACTTAATATTATCTATGAAAAGTTCTGCCTTTGTGCTTTGATTTCTTTGTTTGCTCGTTTCTACACCCGTAGACAGCACTAAAGTCCCGCATCTTCACGTAATAACACTGTCTTGACTAGTGCGGTTGAATGACATTTGTCCTGGGAGCACTGTACCAATGTGGCGGCGCTATTGACGCATGCTTAGGGTCCCTATGCGATATCTAGTGTATATATCTATGGTATCCGTATGCTAAAGTTTGCCTGAATTTAATCTTTGAATATTGGGATGCTGTTTAGTTTATAAAATGAAACAAATCCTGCTAGATTTGACCTCACGCTGCTTTGTTTACTGTAGTAATCAGGGAATCACTGTTATTCCTGCTGTTGTAAAGGCGCCACCTGCTGGAGTAGTATTTTATTCAGTATATAAATACAGTTTTAGTTCGCATTCGTTTCTTGCAATCAGTATTTAGTAAAATGTCAGCAATGTTACTGGTTGAAACCTGAAGTGGTGATGAGGTCCTAAAATGTATGCAAAGAGTCTTAAAAAAGGTCTTGAATTTTACCCTTGAGTTATACCCTGTTTTAGAGCATAAGTCCCGTGATTACCGAGGGACCACTGTATTGTAGATTTTCTAATGAATTATTTTGCATCGGACATATTTATGACCTGTAATGCATTTTTTCTTAATATAGAGGTTACATGGTTTAGGAATCTCTCTGTCAAGAATAAAAACTCGCTAAACAAATAGTTAAGTGATCCAGTAAGCTGACTGCGTTGTCACTAGCCAATCTAGAGGCTGTGTACACCAGGCAGCTAAAGAGAATCACAAATTCAATTTTAAGTGACACTGCTCATCCTCTACACACAGAGTTTCAGCTCCTTCCTTCTGATCGCAGGTTTCTAGTATTAAGCTGTAGAACAAAACGATACCAAAATAGTTTCATACCAGCAGCCATTAGACATTTAAATAAGACATAGACTAAAGCAGAGATGTTTCGGTGACTTGCATATTTTAGTTCATTTATTATAATTATTTATTTAATCTTTATGTTAACGGTTTATGTCTTAATGTTCATTCGTTGTTGCTACTATGTGAGTTCCTTTGTGTGGCACTGTTATAAGATGAGGACTCTTGACTGCAAACCAAATGTACCTTTGGGTATAAATAAAGGAACCTACCTACCTACCTACATTTCTGAGATTTTATTTATGTACAGTGTCTATTATGTACAGTTGAAGTCAGAATTATTTGCTCCCCTTTATATTTATTCCCCTACTTTCTGTTCAACAGAGATTTCAGCATTTCTAACAACTGATTTATTTTGTCATGATGACAGTAAATAATATTTGATTAGATATTAATTAGGACACTAGTATTCAGTTTAAAGTGACATTTAAAGGCTGAAATAGGGTAATTAAGGTAAAGTTAGGGTAATTAGGCAAGTCATTGTATAACAGTGGTTTGCTCTGGAGGCAATCTAAAACTAATATTGCTTAAGGGGGCTAATAATATTGACTTTTAAAGGAGTTTTTTTTTTTAAAAACTGCTTTTATTCTAGCTGAAATAAAACAAATAAGACTTTCTGGAGAAGAAATATTATAGAAAATACTGTGAAAAACTCCTGAATCTGTGAAACATCATTTGAGAAATATCTGAAAAAGAAAAACAAATTTACAGGAGGACGAATGATGTTGACTTCAGCTGCGTGTGTATTCTTGTGATGCCATGCTGAATTGTTAGCATCATTACTTACCTTAGAGCTGCAGCACTGATTTTCAGCCGTCAGTGAGTTTGTCTCTCTTTTCTTGCCGTAGTCGTATCAGGATCTGGTCCAGCGTCTGGAGCCGGTCATCATGGAGCTGGAGAGACAAGGAAACGTGCTGGTGATCTGCCATCAGGCTGTCATGCGCTGCCTGCTCGCATACTTCCTGGACAAGAGTGCCAGTACGACAAACACACATTTACAGCTGTCTTTATGGGGACATACCAGAAATGTAATGGTTTTTATACTGTACAAACTTAATATTCTGTCCCCCTACACCTAAAGCAGACCCTCACAAGAAAACAAGCCGCATTTTTATTTTTTTCAACTATTTCATTCTCTGTGATTAATGGACTGTGCCCCTCATGGGGACATTTGGTCCCCACAATGACTGGAATACAAGTGCACACACACACACACAGACTGCAGCATCAGACAGACACACACATAAAACACACACTTACCAGCATCAGACAGCCAAAGACAAACACACAGCATCTCTCTCTGTCACACACACACACGCACACACACACACACACACACACAAACACACACACACACACAAAACCACAGTTACACACCTGAACACTACTAATGAACACACAAATGCCAACACACACACACATACTTACACAGACACCAAATACACACACACGCAGTAGCATCAGACACACACACACACACACCCACCCATAAAGTCCATCAGTGCTGTGATGACTTCCAGATGATGATAATGAGACACATGAGTCTGCTGGTTTGGAGAAGTCAGCATCCACAGTGATGTTGTGTTTATGCGGTGTGTGTTTGTGCTGTCCTCTGATTTTCTCATATTGGTGTGTGTGTGTTGTGCAGATGATCTGCCGTATCTGAAGTGTCCTCTCCATGCGGTGCTCAAACTCACCCCTGTGGCTTATGGTAAGTGCTTTTATTTTATTACCAGTAGATTTTTAGGATTTGGGAGAGAAAAAAAAGCAAAAGGAATGCTTATAATATTTTAAAAATAATTGTATAATATACATAATAAATAAATGAAACTAAACAAATAAGTAAATAAAACTAAAAAAATAAATAAATAAAAACTAATATCAATTAAATAAATAAAAAATAACCACAACTATAGGGGAGACAAAAAATCCCCCCCTCCACCCCCTGTGACATTTGAATTGTTTTTCCCACATTCATTTACTCATCTTCCTTCAGCTTAGTTTCTATTTCAGAGGTCGCCACAGCGAAATGAACCGCCAACTATTTCAGCATAAGTTTTACGCAGCGGATGCCCCTCCAGCTGGGAAAACACCCATACACACTCATTCACACTCCTACACTACGGTCAATTTAGCTTATTCGACTATAGCGCATGGGTTTGGACTGTGGGGGAAAGCGGAGCACGCAGAGAAAACTCAAGCCAACAGAAATGCCAGCTGGGACTCAAAACAGCGACCTTCTTGCTGTGCTTACCGTGCCATCCATTTTTCCGATATATATATATATATATATATATATATATATATATATATATATATATATATATATATATATATATATATATATATATATATATATATATATTAGCGCTGTCAAAACTAACGCGTTAACGCGTGCGATTAATTTTAAATAATTAACGCGTAAAAAAAAATTAATGCAATTAACGCAGTTCAGGTTTTTTTTTTACTTCCTGTTGTGGTGGACGTGTTTTCAACATGCAATAAATGTGGATAAGACCAAGGAAGCACTTTTTGAAGGCAAGTTCCAGTATAAAACAATTAGTTGCATCACAAGTTATCCAGAGTTTCATGCAATTTCGGGTGTTTCATTCGACATCTGTTGTAAGTTGATACCGCATGGCGAACAGAAAGAAAATCCTCCGCATTTCGTGACTCGGTGTTCCTTTAAGGTAAGGTTCCTTTTAAGGCTACACGGTAGAATTTTAATAAGAGTATTATCTTAATCATATTAAAATCGGAGTATTGGTGTCTTATGTAAATGTACTCAGAACGTCTGGTGAAGTCGCGAGCTGTCAAAGACAGGGCATTACTCTGCCTTTCAGCATGAGCCCTCCAAGTTTAGCGTGTTTCCTCATTAAACGCAACGAAAGCGTATGCTTCGCGTTGTTGTGTCAGAATCCTTGTGAAATACAGTAATACTTTAGGACGCTTAGTTTAGGACGCTTAGCAAATTTGATGAACGTGATCATGCGTGTTGAATCTCATTTTCAACAAGAGATTTAAAACACACACACACACACACATACATACACACATTTTTAAGGGTGCTGTCACCTCAAAGCAAGAAGGCTGCTGGTTCGAGCCTCGGCTGGGTCAATTGGCATTTCTGTGTATAGTTTGCATGTTCTCATGGTCTCATGGTTTCCTCCGGGTGCTCCAGTTTCCCCAACAGTCCAAACACATGCGCTATTGGTAAATTGAATAAACTAAATTGGTAGTGTATGAGTGAGAATGTGGGAGTGTGTGGGTGTTTCCCAGTACTGGGTTGCAGCTGGAATAAATCATAAATCATATGATGAATAAGTTGGCAGTTCATTCTACTGTGGCGACCCCCGATGAATAAAGGGACTAAGCCGAAAAGAGAATGAATGAATGATTGAATAAACACAAATTTCTAAACATGATAGTTTTAATGACTCATTTTTAATAACTTATTTCTTTTATCTTTGCCATAATGACAGCACATAAGATTTGACTAGTTATCTTGCAACGTGCTAGTATTCAGCTTAAAGGGCAAATTTAGTTTTCAACATTGGTATTGTTTTTTTTTTCTTTTGCAGGCTGTAAAGTGGACATGTTTGACCTGAAAGTAGAAGCTGTAAACACACACCGGGACAGACCTCTTGTAAGAAAAACAATACAACTGACAAATACACCTTTAAAAGATTGAAAGGGAACCTATTATGCAAAAATCTGGGATTAAACACAGAATATACAGCAGGGGGGAAAGTAGTAATCATACTGTCATGTTTTTACCTAGGAATAATATTTCTAGAGGAGCTGTTAACATGGAATTGAACAAGATTTTGGTAAAAACCCAAACAATACAAACATGCAAATAAAACAAAAGAAACAAAATATGAAATGACAGAAGGAGAAAGTGCTGAACTACTGAAATGTGTTTAATACTTTATATAAAAGGCTTTTTTTTTTTTTGGTGCTGGCAGCATTTAAAGACACCTCTTATATGTAGAGTGAAGTCATTCAGATTTGAGATTTTCACAGACTTCAACAGTGTCAAAATCTTGATGCTTCTGTGGGTCTCGTCTAAGAAACCTGAGCATTATTTGTCTTGCTTAAATGTCCTGGTGTCATCTTCATCCTCCTGTTATGTAGATGTTGGGCTGAAGCAGCTGATATTCATTTACACTGAGGAAGGGCAGAGGGTTGCTCTACTGAGAGATTTCAGCTGCTGTCTGGGCTTTCACTGCCGAACTACACTTCCCTTTCTTCATGTGTTCAAAACTTTTTCCCTGCATCATTTAATTTTTTTTTTATTACTTTTCATTTTTGTTAACTTCATTTGTAAAGTAATATTTTCTAAAAATAGATGTTTTCTTTGCAAATATGGATTTTTTTTTGGTTTTTACCAACGTAAAAATTTCATGTCAGCGGCACCTTTAGAAATATGTTTTCTGAGAATAATTGTGACCTGTGCAATACCCTTCTAATGGTCAAAATAAATTATTCTATTTTTTTATATATCACACTTCATAAAAACAGTCTGCACAAACACTTTGATTGCAAATAAAGCCTGCTTCTATCTTCTATTGAACATAAAATGAGATATTTTGAAGAATGTTGGAAACTGGTAGCCATTGACAACTAGTATTTTGTTCCAAGTCAATTTTACGGAAGCCCTTAAAGGGTCATGCATTATTTTTTCTTTCATGTTTTTTTGTGATCATTACTTAATTGTCTTGTAACCTTGACATCAAAAGTGGTTTTCTCGTGATCACGACTTCATTTTCTCATTATCTCGACATAACAAAAGTTGTTTTTGATGGATGGATGGATGGATAGATAGCTAGCTTGATGGATGTATGTATAGATAGATAGATAGATAGATAGATAGACAGACAGACAGACAGACAGACAGACAGACTGATGGATATGGGTGGGATGATGGATAGATTGATGGATGGACAGATAGATGGACTGATGGATATATGGTTGGATTATTTGATGCATGGATGTATAGATGGACGGATAGATAGATGGACGGATGAATTGATAGAAAGAAAGAAAGAGAAAGAAAGAAAGAAAGAAAGACATTAAGTCCTGATAACGAAAAAACAAGAGAGGAAAAATATTTGAGTGGACTTCGGTACAGTTTCAACATTCTTTAAAATATCTTAATTTTGTGTTCAACAGCAGGTAGAAACTCCAAAAGGCTCGAGTCAATGATCTTATTTGATTTCAATTAAATGATTAAACAGTATCCCTTTAACAGTGTAAGTGGAAAAGCAAAGCATCCTTATCCTTACACAGGGTCCCCGCGGGTCCTTAAAAAGTCTTAAAATGTCTTAAATAAAATTTTCGATTTTTAAGGTCTGAAAATGTCTTAAATTCTGTAATTTTCCATAAGGAGGTCTTAAATTTCATGTGGGATCTTAAATATCATGTCCGACTCGTCTTATGGCGGCAAATCAATGCCAATATAAATCGAGCGCAGCGGTGATGTTTGCGCGTGAGGAGAAGTGAACCGTGAGCAGATTACAGGTCTACACGCGAGAAAATTACAGCTCGCGAGCGCACAGGGGATCTTCACGCGCGCGCTCAACTGATCCAGCGCGAGAAAACAAGTCCCGCGCGTGCACATTATCATCTGTGCGCACGATGTACGCTCTCGCGAGCGAGGTCATGCCTACAGCGCGCGCGCGATCAGTTCTCTCCGCTCGCTCGCTGGTTCTTCTCTCTGCTCGCGAAACAGTTTAGATTTTTGTGAGTCCTAGGGCGGGACTTGGTTTTCTTGTTATCTCTAACGCTATTGGCTACTCTACCTTTCCAGAAGTTAGCCGGGATTGGACGCAGGTAAGCTAGTTTCCCCGTTAAATAAAATTATATAGGAAATCTTATCATAATGTCACAGTGTGAAACATAGACTTACTTTCTCAGTAATAATAGGTGGAGACTTACTTTCAATAATGAGATATTTTTTGTAATAATTAATCTCATAATAATACCTATTCTTACCATCATGACCAAGTCATATAATGACATATCAAAATAATGAGATATATTTCTGTAACAAACTTTATTACTTGGGAGAGAAAGAGAGAGTTATACCATGTGGCAAAAGATCTCTCCATTAAACAGAAATTGGGGAAAATATACATGGGCTATTAAATCAGGACGAATAATTCAGACTTTAAATGTGTTTTGAACCATTTGATGAAGTTTAGCACCTACATTTAAACTGAACTCAAACTAAACGTGTTCAAATTTACAAAAATCTTTTTTTTTTTCTAAAATTCATTGTCCTTGACTCATTTTCTGTGAAGAACAAGTCAGAATAAATTGGATGGACAATAGTATACAAAATAGGCTATACATGCATGCAGTGCATAAAGTACAAAGGTTTATAGTAAATATATTGCCATTAGTCTGTTATTCCACTATACAGTTAAAGTCAGAATTATTAGCCCGCCTGAATTAATAGCCCCCTGTTTATTTTTATCCTAATTTTTATTAAACGGAGAGAAGATTTTTTTCAACACATTTCTAAACATTATAGTTTTAATAACTCATTTCTAATAACTGATTTATTTTATCTTTGCCATGATGACAGTAAATAATATTAGACTAGATATTCTTCAAGACACTTCTATACAGCTTAAAGTGACATTTAAAGGCTTAACTAGGTTAACTAGGCAGGGTAATTGGGCAAGTTATTGTATAACGATGGTTTGTTCTGTAGACTTTCGAAAAAAATAAATAGGTTAAAGAGGGTAATAATATGGACCTTAAAATGGGTTTTAAAAAATTAAAACAGCTTTTATTCTTGCCGAAATAAAACAAGAAAAAAGTGGGCTACTAATTTTGACTTCAACTGCATATGTGACCTTTAAGATGTGGGCCTGTCGTATAGAAAGTAGTATTTGTATGCCTCTGAAGTGGAATGATGTAATGGATAGTGAGTAAAGCCAAACGAAGATTGTAGAAATTAAATTGTTGCTCAATAGGTGGCGATAAAAACCCATCTGAATGTCTGTCACTGTATTTTTTATGTTTAATTGGGCTAATCATTTTTGATTGAAGTCTTTATATGCAGGTTATTCAATCATTAACTAAAAATGAGATTGAAAAATATATATAATATATATAGATATATATATTTTACACTGATCTATATTACAAACAATGTTAACAATTATCTATAAAGATAAATTAATTATAATTATCTATAAAGATCTAAAACGCAAATAAACTCTTCTGAAGACAATATTTCCTAGAAAGATCATCCCCAAGTGTAATAATGAGCACTGCTGTTGTGGTTAATAATGAAGTAAAATACAACAAACCAGACAAGTGCTGCACGGACAAATCAAATGGGTTCAGAAAGTCATGTTACAAGAATGCAAGTCATTATTTTGGATATTATTTGACTGTTTCTTGAGATTGAATCCTCATAAAGTTCATAAAGTTCTCAGAAAGTTTCTTATGATTATGACTTGCAAATTGTATATATATTTAACGGCATGATCTTTTAACTTGCGTCCAATCCCGGCTAACTTCCGGAAAGGCACAGTAGCCAATAGCGTTAGAGATAACAAGTAAACCAAGTCAACCAAGTAATCTGCTCACGGTTCACTTCTCCTCGCGCGCAAACATCACCGCTGCGCTCGATTTATATTGCCATTGATTTGCCGCCATAGATTTGCCGCCATACTTCACCACATCATTCTGTGTTCACACTGAACATTTTCCTGTTTTTTTTTTTTTAGGTAAAGTCTTAAATTTTCATTTTAGAGGACTTAAAAAGGTCTTAAAAGGTCTTAAATTTTCTGTTAAAAAATGTGCAGATACCCTGTTACTATGTCTCATCATTTAGTAACATGCTATTTTTCCTCTTCAAGGAACTTCATCATAATTTTAGAGCGTGCATCTTTTGGTTTTTGGGTTTGTTTGTTCAGCGTGACTGTGAATGTTGTTGGTTTAGTTGTGATATTTTTGTCGTCTCCAGTAAATGAGTGAGAGTGTGTGTGTGTGTGTCTGACTGTAGGTGTGAGGTTTGTGAGTCTGCGGTCAGACACTCAGGCTGTTGTTTTTCTGCTTTACTGTAGAAGAAGATGAGATCACGCTGTTATTTCTCCACATGATTATAGCTGCGGCTCTGAGGGAGTTTCCCTGACCAGACTGAGCCTTCATTTAACTCTGAGCATCAACATCTTCAACTTCCGCTCTGATTTATTTAAGGGCTCCCATTTTATATGGAGAAGCGGGCATATTTTGCACTTTTGAACTCAGAGATTTTGATGTAATAATGATGACATACTGTGACATTCTGAATATTAATGGATTTTAACATTTTTCATTTTGTTACAATCAAAAATCCTTTTATTTGATACTATTATTATTCCGTTTTTTATTTTTTATGCTATTTATAAATTAGTTTTATATTTAATACAATTTTTAAGATTCAAAGTATATCCAATGCTAGTTTTATTTTGATACTATTTTAACATTTGTTTTTATTTTGATACTATTTTAACATTTGTTTATATTTTGATTATATTTTAACATTTGTTTTTATTTTGATATTTTACCATTTGTTTATATTTTAATTATATTTTAACATTTGTTTAGATTTTAATTCAATTTTAACATTTGTTTTTATTTAGATATTTTAACATTTGTTTTTATTTTGATATTTTACCATTTGTTTATATTTTGATTATATTTTAACATTTGTTTTTATTTTGATATTTTACCATTTGTTTTTATTTTGATTTTTTTACCATTTGTTTATATTTTAATTATATTTTAACATTTGTTTAGATTTTAATTCAATTTTAACATTTGTTTTTATTTAGATATTTTAACATTTGTTTTTATTTTGATATTTTACCATTTGTTTATATTTTAATTATATTTTAACATTTGTTTAGATTTTAATTCAATTTTAACATTTGTTTTTATTTAGATATTTTAACATTTGTTTTTATTTTGATATTTTACCATTTGTTTATATTTTGATTATATTTTAACATTTGTTTTTATTTTGATATTTTACCATTTGTTTATATTTTAATTATATTTTAACATTTGTTTAGATTTTAATTCAATTTTAACATTTGTTTTTATTTAGATATTTTAACATTTGTTTTTATTTTGATATTTTACCATTTGTTTATATTTTAATTATATTTTAACATTTGTTTAGATTTTAATTCAATTTTAACATTTGTTTTTATTTAGATATTTTAACATTTGTTTTTATTTTGATATTTTACCATTTGTTTATATTTTAATTATATTTTAACATTTGTTTAGATTTTAATTCAATTTTAACATTTGTTTTTATTTAGATATTTTAACATTTGTTTATATTTTGATTATATTTTAACATTTGTTTTTATTTTGATAATATTTTAACATTTGTTTATATTTTGATTATATTGTTGATACTATTTTTACATTTGTCTTTATTTCTATAGTAATTTCAACTTTTCTTTTTTATTTTAATACTATTTTTACATTTGTTATTATTTCGATAGTATTTTTACTTAGTTTTAGGTTATTTTTTTCTTTTGACATTGTAATGGCAATCCATAAAAACTGGATTGATTTGATTCATAAAAAAATATTATTAATTGATTAATGTTTTCGAAAATAATTGTAATAAAAATGGAGGTTTGATTGATTGATATCAATTGATCATACAATTGATTGATATCAACACCCTCATCTCTTATGCAGAGACTTCAACCAATTACAGCAGACTTCATTTACACAGCCTGTAGGAAATCATCATACCCTGTGAATATCTCTACCTTTACCCACATTGCACCCTGCTTTCAAAAGACCTTTGGGATAAAGTTCAGATTAGGAAAAGGCAAAGAAAACATTTCAGAGGCTGGAAAAGTGATTTGATTTCAGGCTGAATGACAAATAAAGTCATTATTTCAAATGGGTTTGATGAATTTCTATAGACTTTTTTCTATATTGCTGCATGGAGGGCATCATATCGACTAGCACCTTTTGGTAGGATGCTTAAAGCTTCCACAAGATGCCGTCTGACAGTGTAAAATGCCTCCCAGCGGTTGATTATCATTCCCATTAGATTGATTAAAAAAGAACATTAGTCCAGGAGGTGGCGCTGATCAACATCAGTATTAGTTCAAAGACGTTAAAAGCAATTAAAATATATAAAAACTATTTCAAAGCTGACGCTTTATACTTATCAAGCTGCCGAAAGTTTGGAGAATCCTCCCTAAACATGCATGCAAAGCATACTGGGTAATTTTGCGTTCTATGAAAAAGTCTATAGCAGGGGTCTCCAAACTCAGTCCTGGAGGGTGGGTGTCCTGCATATTTTAGTTCCAACCCCAATCAAACACACCTGAACCAGCTAATCAAGCTCATTCTTAGTATACTAGACTTCCCGGCAGGTGTGTTGGAGGAAGTTGGAGCTAAACCATGCTGGACACCGGCCCTCCAGGACCGAGTTTGGACACCTCTGGTCTATAGGTGCTGTACATAATAATCAGATGTCTGCTGGTCAGTAATACTTGTGTTGTGTGTCCGTCTTTCAGGGCAGGGGCAGACAGGTAGTGGCTCCGGCCTTGCTGAGAAGGAACAGTTTCACTCCTCTGTCCAGTCAGGATCAGGTGAAGCGGCCGAGGCTCTTCAGCGTGGGAAACCCGCCGCGGATAACAAGCGCACCTGCTTTATCAACAACACGATTCCCACAGACACGGGAGAGCGAAGAGCTGAGCGAGAGCCAGGTCTGAACTGTGTGTGTGTGTGTGTGTGTGTGTGTGTGTGTGTGTGTGTGTGTGTGTGTGTGTGCCCGCCTTGTATTTCTCAAGTTATGGGGACCAAATCTCCTCTCAAGTATGCAATGCAAAAGTGCACTTGTAGAACTTCAGATGCAGTGGCCTATGGGAGAAATGACTAGGAATGAGAAAACGGTCAAACTACTACAGTGTTTTTGACTATACATAAAATGAAGAATACTATAATAATACAAATCAGTTTGCAACATCAAGCAGCATAACGAGCTGTTTTAATGGCTAAATATCAACGGAAGTGAATGACAGCAGAAGTCTCAATCTAAGAAGATTCCAGTGGCGGCGTCCGCTCAAATGAGACCAATAGAAATGTCAGCCATTAAACACCTTGAAGGGAATTTAAAAAGTTTGGTCCTCATAAAGAAAAAGGCTCATAAATCACACAGAAATAAGTATTTTGATCATGTAAAAATGCAGATTGTTTACTGTGAGTGTTGAGTTTTAGAATAGGGTTGAGGTACAGGTATTGAATATACAGTATGTACAGTACAGCTGTACGTGTGTCTGTGTGTGGAACATCAGCTTTCATACACGCACACATGCAATGAGAATGCATAGTCCTGCAGAAGGCATATTGATGACTGAAACTAAAGTTATTTGAAAGATTTTTATTTTATTTTTTTAATGGAAGAAACTATATTAATATGCACGAATAATATGATAATGATCTAATAATTTATTTTCTGATTTACTTAATTACTTTTTATTTACTTGCTTGCTTATTAGCTTACTTTTAAATTATTATTTTTAAACTATTTAGATATTTAGTTGCTTGCTTATTCATTTATGCAGTTGTTTATTTTTCTTTTTTATTAACCCATTTACTTGCTTATCGGCTTAATTTTGGTTTGTTTATTGTTTGTGTTATTTTACTTAGTTTTTTTGCATTAGTGTGCTTATTTTTTTTAAATATAATATAGACAATATTAGTTTACTTTTGTTTATAGTACTTATAGTATCACTTGTTTGTATTTATTTACTTTCTTAAAGTACTTTCTTTTTATTTCTATTTATTTATTTACTTGATACTTTTTAGGTATTTTCTTAATGAACTGCTTGCCTTTTTATTTCTATTTATTTATTTATTTATTTGATCCTTTTTAGTTTTTTCTTAATTACTTGCCTTTTTATTTATTTATTTAATGAATTATTTTTTAGCTATTTTCTTAATTACTTGCTTTTGTATTTGTATTTATATGTTTATTTATTTAATTACTTGATGGTTTTTATGTACTTTCTTAATTAATTACTTGCATTTTTACTTTTTATTTGTATTTATTTATCTACTTGATCCTTTTTTAAGGCATGTTCTTAATGAATTACTTGCATTTTTTTATTAGTATTTATTTATTTTCTTTTAGGTATTTTCTTAAATAATTACTTGCCTGTTTATTTGTATTTATTTTTTCATTGATTTACTTGAACTTTTTTTTTTTTTAGGTATTTCCTTAATTGCTTGCCTTTTTATTTGTATTTATTGATAATTTTTTAGGTGTTTTCTTAATTAATTAATTTTTGTTTAAATTTATTTATTTATTGGTTTATTTTGATCCTGTTTTAGGTATTTCCTTAATTACCTTAATTACCTTTTTATTTCTATTTATTTTTTTATTTAAATGGTCTTTTTTTACGTATTTTCTTAACTGCTTGCCTTTTTATTCGTATTTATTTATTTACTTAATCCTTTTGAGGTATTTTCTTAATGAATTACTTGCATTTTTATTTGTATTTATTTACTTGACCTTTTTTTAGGTATTTTCTTAATTACTTTTTTTTATTTGTATTTATTTATTTGTTTTTGTTTGTTTATTTACTTGATCCTTTTCTTAGGTATTTTCTTAATTAATCACTTTTTATTTGTATTTCTTTATTTAATTGATCCTTTTTAGGTGTTTTCTTAATTACTTGTCTTTTTATTTGTATTAATTAATTAATTAATTAATTAATGTATTTTTTGTTTAGTAGTAGTATTAAGTAGTACTAAGAACTTTATTGTCATTCACTTCACATTCATTACTTTGAGCATTGGCTCTACATTTCCAATAGAAATAACCCTAAACAATAAATAGTATAATTAAAAAAAAAAAATTTGTATAAATCAATTACTTTTCTTGTTTGTTCACTTAGTAAATAAATAAAAAAAATGTAATTGTCTTTTTTTTTAATGGTCTAAGTTTCTTTGAGTGGAGTTTCTTTAAGTGTTGTTTATGCATCGACACCTAACAAATATCATTTATTTTCTCTCTCCAACAGGAGTTACTGAACTGCTTCAGCCCATCAGACTCAAAAGAGGTCATCCAAGAGTGACGACACAAACAAAAACACAACTTACACAAGTGACGCCCATCAGAAATTAAACCGGTTTCCTCCAGACATGACTCAACTCTCTCTCCGTCCGCCCTTCAATCTTCATCCGTCCACAAAATGCTGGAAAATACGGTAAAACCATGCCAGGCACATGTGAGTTATTCAATATACACTCCATTAATCTGCTGATTGACAGCCTGTGCAACCAATAAGGGCCAATTAAGTGGGTGTGGCTTGTTCCGGTTAATCTGATTGGCCCTCCAGAATCTTGAAAAGCACTGCTATTGATTAATGTGACTTTTTTGTTTTCATAATAGCCAAATTTGACTGGATATAAGTGTAAATATGTGTTTTATTCTATCAGTTATTCATCTGTAATGCTATTTTTATGTTTATAGACTTAATGTTGCGCTCTTGAATGTTTTATCGAATATAACGAATGTGAAATGAAGAAGTTATAAAAGTTATGTTCTGCTGTTTTATGTTCAGACTGGAGTATCAGGGTAAAAAGCCTATAAGTTGATTGTTTAAGCTGTTGTAAATGAGTGTGACCTTTAATATTCTTCTTTAAAACAAAACGCACGCTCTGAAGCATTAATTATAGAGCTTTATTAACGTCTTTAATTGCGTTACGGATGATCTACACTTTAAAAATAATATCTGTTAGTGAACAGTTTCCGTATATTGTGATTCACAAAAGGTATTTATGTTTATGAATTGCTTCATGGGATGAAATGTTGTCACGATACTGGAATTTGATACCAATTGGTACTGAGATTTTAAAAGTGTCCATTTCCCGCTAACACTTGAGCGCTGTTGAGCTCATTCTTAAACGGCGCTGATTTGCCATTGTGTTCACATGCTCAACAGAAAGGACTGTGATTGGCCGTGAAGGTCTTCAGTTCACCAAACTCACTGCTATTTATTGAGTGTAACTACAGATACAGGGACACTGGAGCGTTTTAAAGCCACGAAGATCAGCTGATCTGTCTATGAGCTGACATTAGAGCGATCCGCTGATGAATCGACTGATATTTGCAGCTTTAAAACACTCCAGTGTCCGTATATCTGTGCTTACACTCAGTGAGTGTGTCCAATGTTAGCAGGAAATGGACGTGTTTAAAATTTTACTATCGATTGGTACTGACAAACACTCTAGTGGGATATTGATCTCTGCTCTGTTGACTTTTGATGTAGAAAATTTAACTCTACAGTGACTTTTATTGACATTTTAGTAGTTTCAAATAATAATGCAATGTATAAGGTATAATATAGAGCGAAATAAGTCTGTTAAATAACAGAAAATGCACTGGCAGTTTATTGCAAGGTGTTTGTAGCGTAATATACAACACCAACCCAGACAATATAGCACTTAAAACTATGAAAAGTGTTCATAAAGTCACTTTTTAAGGATGAAAGATGATGTGAAGAAAATAAAAGTCTCATACTGCAATTCAAAAGCAGAAATAAACTTGGAAAAATAAAAACGTGAATCACAAAATATGGAAAACTGCATATTTACGGATTTTTTAAGTGTTTAAGTACACTTAAAACTACTGAGAACATCGCAACTCCTACTTTACTGTATTACTTTTCACATTTTAGCGTCTGTTAATAGTTATGAAAAGCTATTTATAAGGACTTTTATTTTGCATCAGATCTAGTAGGATGTTTTTAAATGGTGTTGTAAATGGTTTCATGAATATAAATGTATGTTCTTGTTGTCTGAATTTTGCATTACAAGTTTTTTGGATGCACAGAGTATGTTGTTTAAGTGTTTAATACTCTTAAAGGGACTCAGAATTAATGTTTTGCTGTTCATTTGGAAATTGCTATTACTTGCCGTTTCTCCAGAAGAACTTTAAAGTGGGTTTTTAGCCGGAACTGTGGCGCTTGCTGATTCATATAATGCATTTTAATGGCTAACAGGCCCTTTGAGAGTCTATTAAATAAATGATGAATTCTTATAAAGTGAAATGATCGTTCTGTGGATTAAACTGAATATTATTTACAATTTTACCAAATATTTCTCTTCAAAAGACCTCATATTTATCATCAGGAGACAAAACTTTGTATTATTTTGTCTTTAGAATTAATAGTTATAGAATAATTATTAGCTCTGCATTGAAATTTTTATTTGTGAGATACTAGTATTCAGCTTAAAGTGACATTTAAAGGCATAATAATAACAACAACAACAATAATAATAATAATAATGATAATAATTGGCTTATAATATTGACTATAGCAGATTTTACGTTTTTTGTTTCTTTTTTGTATTTATTATTTTATTTTTTAATCCAGCCAAACTAAAACAAATAAGAATTTCTCCAGAACACACATACTATTTTTATTTGCTCTATTAAACTTAACTTTATACGTAATATTTGGAAAATAATTAAGAATTTTTAGTTTTGCCTTTACAGTTAAAGAAAATTATTGTTAATTATTATTTTTCAAATATATCCCAAGGGCTGTTTTGCACATTTTTAAACAATAAAAGTTTAATTTTGAACCAATTTTTTATTTTAAATTTAAGACATTTCTAATTCCTAATCAATTATATAAGCTTTTTGAGCATCCAAAAATAAATAAATGATGAATTCTCATGAAGTGAAGCAACTGGCCTGTGCATTAAACTGAACATTATTTATAATATTACCAAATATTTCTCTTCAAAAGACCTCAGATTTATCATCAGGAGCCACAATTACTATTATTATTTTTTTGTCTTTACTGTGAAAGAAAATGATTATTAGTTCTCCTGTGAAATGTTTATTATATATATATATATATATATATATATATATATATATATATATATATATATATATATATATATATATATATATATATATATAAACAACATGCATAACAGTAAATAAATAAAGTAAATAACAACTATAAATAAAAGATAGATAGAAAGGAACGGATCAGTGGTAAGGAGTGACAAATTTCTAGTAATTTTCAGTTTTCTTTTGTCTTTGTCATGATGACAGTACATCATATTTTACAAGTTATTTTGTGAGATACTAAAATTCTATTTAAAGTGACTTTTGAAGAAATAATAATAATTGTTATTATTATTATTGGCTAATTATATTGACCATAGTCAATTTTACGTTTGTGTTTTTGTATTTATTTCTTTTATTTCTTTTTTTATTTTTAGCCAAAGTAGAAGAAGTAAGAGTTTTTCCAGAACAAAAAAAAAATTTATTTGCTCTATTTAATTATTTAATTCACATTTCATAGGAGGGCTAATCATTTTATCTTCAAATATATACTACTGGTCAATATATATATATATATATATATATATATATATATATATATATATATATATATATATATATATATATATATATATATTTTTTTTTTTTAAGAGAATTATTCTGTTCATCAAGGCGGCATTTATTAAATGAAAAAAAATTATAAAAAATAAATATAAATTTAAAGTGAAATATTTATTAAAATTTTTAATTACTACTTTCTTATTTTATGTGTTTTAAATTGACTACAATTATATTACTCCAGTCATTACTGCTTTTTTTTTTACTATTACAACAACAATAATAATAATAATAATAATCAATATTAGAGTGATTTCTGAAGGATCATGTGTCTCTGAAGACTGGAGTAATAAAGCTGAAAATTCATCTTAAAAATCACTGGAATAAATGATCAAAATAAATTATAAGCTACTTTTAAAGTTATTTATAGTTCAATAACATTTCACAATTTTACAAATTTTACTGTATCTTAGATTAAATAAATGCAGCTTTGGTAGAGTAGGTTTAAAAGCTTATTTTAAAAGATTTAACAATCCTACTGACCCCAAACAATTGACCAGCAGTGTACTTTGTAATCGTTTTTTTTTTAACTAAAGTTCCAGTTGCTGTTGATTTGGATTTGTATGAACCACCAAAGACTGTTTTAGCTAAAAAAAAAAAAAAAAAAAAAAAAAATTTATGTTTTATTGAAGAAAAATCTATTAAATCTTGTATGTCCCGAGCAATTTTTATTTCTATGCGAACTGTCAGAGTTTGTTGTGCTCAATCAAAAGTCTGCACTGTTGCTTCTTTCAGCATCTCATCATTTCACTGCAAATATAAATGTGTTAATATGATTTAATGTGATCAGATCTGTAAGTGCCTTTTGCTTCACGACCAAAGTTTGACCAAATACAATGAATTCCCTGTCAGTTCAGATCAGAATGACTGAAATGACAAGAATAAAGAGCTTAATTTTTACCTGAATGTATTAGAAAATAAGCACTGCGTTCTGGTCTCATTGAGAAATCAATAACATCACAACATTAGCATCAGTGGTGTTTCATGCTAATCTGTTCAAAACACATTTGTGATTTTAATAAATCAGTCTGTGATGCAAAAACAGATATTTTCTGTCTTTTCTGTGTATATTAGCTGTCAAAATATGCATTATTGCGTCAATATTTTTCAACATTTAATTATTTTTTGGTCATTTAATTTTAAGGTTTAATATTTGCTTTATTAAAGGTGCTGTATGTAAGTTTTTGACTCTTTTAAAGCATAAAAATACCGTGTTAATAAGATATTTAAGAAACATGCTCAGTGAACATTCTTGTTTATCTGAAAAACAATGCTGAAGACAGATATTCTGCTTTGAAAATGTGCGTTACGTGGTATTTTGGTCTTTTAACCCGCCCAATGCCAGTTTAGCCAATTATATCTCAGCACCCCGGGTTGCCTTGGTGGAAAACAGCATATTTCATTCATTCATTCAGTCAGGAAGGCTCTCAAAGTGTGCTCCGTGACTGAAATGCGACCTCCGGTGGACCAGTAGCAGACTCCGAAATGAGATGCAGATTCAGAGTTCCACATGAGGTGGTTATTAATTAGCAAAAACAGGGTGTCCACGGGGTCTTAAAGTATTAAAGGTTGATAAATTAATTTAGAGAAATTTAAGACCCTTTAAAAGTATTAAATTCTTTAATGCTGAGTTGTAAGGTATTAAATATTGTATTATTTATGATTATATAATGTGTAGTTGTATGCCAGCATTTAATCTGCAACTAGTGGTATGTTACGTAGTTTATGAAATCGATAAAGTACTTCTAGATTTGACATCACACTGCTTTGTTTACTGCATTAACAATGTTATTTTCTGCATTTTTAAGGGCAACATCTGCTGGATTTGCGTCTTTTTATAGTATATGAATAATGTTTTAGTTTAGGATTAGTTTCTTACAATCAGTATTTAGTAAATATACTGTAGATTCAATTCAGCTTTGTTTGTATAGCGCTTTTACAATGTTGATTGTGTCAAAGCAGCTTCACATAAATGGTCATAGTAACTGGATCAGGGTAGTTTAGGTTGGTTCAGTTTTTAGTGTTTAAGTTCAGTTCAGTTTAGCTCAGTTCAGTGTGGTTTGAAGTCATTATTGAGAGTCCAAACACTGAAGAGCAAATTCATCGATGAGTAGCTTTTCGGATCCTGAACCATGCAAGCCAGTGGCGACAGCGGAGGGGAAAAAAACTTCACCAATAGGAGAGTGAAGAAAAAAAACTTGAGAGAACCAGACTCAGTTCGGCACGACCATTTTAATTTCTCCGCTGGCCAAAAGTCTTGTGCAGAGCTGCAGTCTCAGCAGTGGAGGCTGAAAGCTGGCCTCAGCGAATTTGTCAACGAAGTTAAAATGTCGCCAATGTTAACGGTTGAAAGCAAAAAGGGTGATGAGTTTTAAAATGCATGAATAGTCTTTAAAAAGGTCTTAACATATATTCACTCTCTGATTCCTAAATATACCCTGAATAATATAAATATAACGATTGTAAACAGGTGAGCAGGTTGCATTGTAACCCGTGTCCTAACAAGACGCTGCGTGACGAGATATGCAGTGAGGAGCAGTTTGGCTGTTACATCAGACGAAACACGACAGAAATTTTACTACAGCTATTCAGTAGCACAGAATAGTGCACCCACTGCACTCCAGCAAAATGGTAAGCTTTATAATCTCATTCCTTCATTTTCTTGTCGGCTTAGTCCCTTTATTAATCCAGGGTCGCCACAGCGGAATGAACCACCAATTTATCCAGCAAGTTTTTACGCAGCGGATGCAAGATTGAACCAATCTTTGGGAAACATCTACACACACATACTCATACACATTTAGCCTACCTGTGGGTACCTGTAGACTGTGGGGGAAACCGAAGCACCCGGAGAAAACCCACGCGAACGCAGGGAGAACATGCAAACTCCACACAGAAACGCCTACTGAGCCGAAGATTGAACCAGTCGCTTTTAACACATGAGAGAGGGTTCTTTTGCTGTGCTCATGTTTCAGGAGGTGTGGCTCTAGACGGCAGGGGAGGGACTGTGATTCAGAGATTTATGCTAAGCTGTTAGCATTGTGGAAGATCACCTACTGCACCTAGTGGTTGGGCACAACCCAAATAAAATAATGCTAGTCAAAAGGATAAGGGTTGGCTCTCTATATGATTTGATTTGATATTGATTTGAAATTGGCTCTTGTGTGACTCTGGTGAATCAAATATAATTGATTGAAAGCATTGAGAGAGACATGTTTGAGTATGTTTACAGTACTGTCAAATATAAGACTGCTCAAAAAAAATCTAGAAAGGGTTTTGCTATTTTGGTGAAAACAAATGTTGACATCGCTCACATGCAAACAAGATATTTTTTCCTTTTTAAATATATTAGCAATCAAAATGTGCAATTTTACAGTAAGCATGCAGGTATTATTTACCCTTTTTTAATTCATAATGCTTTTAGTTCACTCTTTGGTGGAAATGTGCTCAAATAAAT